CTTTGTTCTGATTATTGGATCTAGAATCCCTAACCCTAACCCTAATTTTTTGCATCAGCAAAAAATATATAAGAGAGATAGCCACTAGTCTTCTGGGCCCTTTGGGAATTTTTTGCATCAGCAAAAAAATATTTCTGGGTCTCTGGAAGCTGCAGATTGGTGGCCAGTTGGGTCCAAGGACCGTGCATAAACCGTAATTGGACTTTGTTCTGATTATTGGATCTGTAATCCCTAACCAAGCCAGTGCCTGCTCTCTGGGCCTCTCTGTGGTGACTGGAGTCCTGGATTTATTTTTTTGAGGATGCAAAAACAATAGAGACAACAGTTTGTTGACAATAAATTTAATTTCGAAGGACAATATGTCTGATGTTTGGTGATTTCGCGTGTGTGGGGGAACACGCCCCCTTAGAAACAGTACATACATGGCTGCTGTAGAGAATTCCAGCCATTTAGTGTTCAGAGCTCGCCTGAGGAAGGATCACAGAGTCCGAAACGTCGCGATAGGCTTGAACACACAACGTAAGGCCTCCATCATGAGTCTGGGTGATGTAGAGAGCAACATAAAAATTATTTCCTTCATCTACATCGATGATGGGATGTGCTCAGTATTTCTTTCTTCGAGGAAACGTGCACTACACCACACACCTAAACTTACCAACCACTTGGGTCGTGGAAACCTAAGAGAGATAGCCACTAGTCTTCTGGGCCCTTTGGGAATTTTTTGCATCAGCAAAAAAATATTTCTGGGTCTCTGGAAGCTGCAGATTGGTGGCCAGTTGGGTCCAAGGACCGTGCATAAACCGTAATTGGACTTTGTTCTGATTATTGGATCTGTAATCCCTAACCAAGCCAGTGCCTGCTCTCTGGGCCTCTCTGTGGTGACTGGAGTCCTGGATTTATTTTTTTGAGGATGCAAAAACAATAAAAACAACGGTTTGTTGACAATAAATTTAATCTTGAAGCACAACATGTTTGATGTTTGGTGATTTCGTGTGTGTGGGGGAACACGCCCCCTTAGAAACAGTACATACATGGCTGCTGTAGAGAATTCCAGCCATTTAGTGTTCAGAGCTCGCCTGAGGAAGGATCACAGAGTCCGAAACGTCGCGATAGGCTTGAACACACAACGTTAGGCCTCCATCATGAGTCTGGGTGATGTAGAGAGCCACATAAAAATTATTTCCTTCATCTACATCGATGATGGGATGTGCTCAGTATTTCTTTCTGTTCTGATTATTGGATCTATAATCCCTAACTAATCCTGATCCCCAGTTTAGCCCAGGAAGGGCTCCTGATTTCTTGTTAAGCCCCAGGAAGGGCTCCTGATCCCTAGTTCAGCCCAGGAAGGGCACCTGATCCCCAATTCAGCCCAGGAAGGGCTCCTGATTTCTCGTTAAGCCCAGGAAGGGCTCCTGATCCCCAGTTCCTACCAGGAAGGGTTCCAGCCCAAAAGCTCTCTCCAGTGCCCGCTTCTCAAAAATGCACGCCCTCCCACCCGCTCCAGCCTCCTCCACCGCTGTCAGCTGGCAGCCCCTCTGCTCGCCCTCAGCCCCCCATCATTGCGGTGCGAGCCCCGCGGGACTGCCATCCTCCAGCGTCACCGTGGTTGGA